TAGAGGATCAGGCACACATAACAGGAAAGGCACTGCAATGGATCAGAGAATACCTGACAGGGAGGCAACAACGAGTCATGGTATGCGACGAGGTGTCAGAGTGGGCGCCTGTGACAAGCGGGGTTCCACAAGGGTCAGTCCTAGGACCTGTGCTGTTCTTGGTATATGTGAAAGACATAACGGAAGGGATAGACTCAGAAGTGTCCTTGTTTGCAGATGATGCGAAGTTAATGAGAAGAATCAAATCGGATGAGGATCAGGCAGGACTACAAAGAGACCTGGACAGGCTACAAGCCTGGTCCAGCAACTGGCTCCTTGAATTTAACCCTGCCAAATGCAAAGTCATGAAGATTGGGGAAGGGCAAAGAAGACCGCAGACACAATATAGTTTAGCTGGCCAAAGACTGCAAACCTCACTCAAGGAAAAAGATCTGGGGGTGAGTATAACACCGAGCATATCTCCTGAGGCGCACATCAATCAGATAACTGCTGCAGCATACGGGCGCCTGGCAAACCTACGGATAGCGTTCCGATGCCTCAGTAAGAATTCGTTTAAGACTCTGTATACCATTTACGTCAGGCCCATACTGGAGTATGCAGCACCAGTTTGGAACCCACGCCTAGTCAAGCACGTCAAGAAATTAGAGAAAGTGCAAAGGTTTGCAACAAGACTAATCCCAGAGCTACGGGGATTGTCCTACGAAGAAAGGTTGAGGGAAATCGGCCTGACGACACTGGAGGACAGGAGGGTCAGGGGAGACATGATAACGACATATAAAATACTGCGCGGAATAGACAAGGTGGACAAAGACGGGATGTTCCAGAGAAGGGGCACAGACACAAGAGATCACAATTGGAAGTTGAAGACTCAGATGAATCAAAGGGATGTTAGGAAGTATTTCTTCAGTCATAGAGTAGTCAGGCCGTGGAATAGCCTAGAAAGTGACGTAGTGGAGGCGGGAACCATACATAGTTTTAAGGCGAGGTATGATAGAGGTCATGGGGCAGGGAGAGAGAGGACCTAGTAGCAATCAGCGAAGAGGCTGGGCCAGGAGCTGTGACTCGACCCCTGCAACCACAAATAGGTGAGTACACACACAAACCTCAAGGAAAAAGATCTTCGGTGAGTGTAACACCAGCCACATCTGAGGTACATATCAACCAAATAACTGCTGCAGCATATGGGCGCCTAGCAAACCTCAGAACAGCATTCCAACATCTTAATAAGGAATCGTTCAGGACCCTGTACACCGTGTACGTTAGGCCCATATTGGAGTATGCGGCACCAGTTTAGAACCCACACCTAGCCAAGCACGTAAAGAAACTAGAGAAAGTGCAAAGGTTTGCAATAAGACTAGTTCCAGAGCTAAGAGGTATGTTCTACGAGGAGAAGTTAAGGGAAATCAACCTGACGACACTGGAGGACAGGAGAGATAGGAGGGACATGATAACGACATACAAAATACTGAGGAATTGAAAAGGTGGACAAAGACGGGATGTTCCAGAGATGGGACACAGCAACAAGGAGACACAGTTGGAAGTTGAAGACACAGATGAATCACAAGGATGTTAGGAAGTATTTCTACAGCCACAGAGTAGTCAGGAAGTGGAATAGTTTGAGAAGCGATGTAGTGGAGGCAGGATCCAAACATAGCTTTAAGCAGAGGTATGATAAAGCTCACGGTTCAGGGAGAGTGACCTAGTAGCGACCAGTGAAGAAGGGGGGGGGGGCAGGAGCTTGGACTCGACCCCTGCAACCTCAACTAGGTGAGTACACACTGGCAGGAAAGCCAGTAAATGAGATGATGGAATATGTAACAACAGTATGCAAGGAAGCTGATGAGAGGTTTGTACCCAAGGGTAACAGGAATATTGAAAAAGCCAGGATGAGCCCATGGTTCACCCAAAGGTGCAGGGATGCAAAAACCAAGTGTGCTTTGGAATGGAAGAAGTATAGAAAGCAAAGGACCCAGGAGAATAAGGAGAGCAATCGTAGTGCCAGAAATGAATATGCACAGATAAGGAGGGAGGCTCAACGACAATATGAAAACGACATAGCAGCGAAAGCCAAATCTGACCCGAAGCTGTTAGACAGCCACATCAGGAGGAAAACAACAGTCAAGGACCAGGTAATCAGGCTAAGGAAGGAAGGAGGAGAGACAAGAAATGACCGTGAAGTATGTGAGGAACTCAAGAGATTCAAAGAAGTGTTCACAGAGGAGACAGAAGGGGCTCCAGAAAGACGGAGAGGTGGGGTACACCACCAAGTGCTGGACACAGTACACACAACCGAGGAAGAAGTGAAGAGGCTTCTGAGTGAGCTAGATACCTCAAAGGCAATGGGGCTGGATAACATCTATACATCTATCGAAACAGGGAGATTGCCTGAGGCATGGAAGACAGCAAATGTAGTCCCAGTCTTTAAAAATGGAGACAGACATGAAGCACTAAACTACAGACCAGTGTCACTGACATGTATAGTATGCAAAGTCATGGAGAAGATTATCGGGAGAAGAGCGGTGGAACACCTAGAAAGGAATGATCTCATCAACAGCAGCCAACATGGTTTCAGGGACGGGAAATCCTGTGCCACAAACCTACTGGAGTTCTATGACAGGGCGACAGCAGTAAGGCAAGAGAGAGAGGGGTAGGTGGATTGCATTTTCTTGGGCTGCAAGAAGGCGTCTGACACAGTTCCACACAAGAGATTAGTGCAAAAACTGGAGGAACAAGCAGGGATAACAGGGAAGGCACTACAGTTGATCAGGGAATACTTGTCAGGAAGACAGCAGCGAGTCATGGTACGTGGCGAGGTGTCAGAGTGGGCGCCTGTGACCAGCGGGGTCTCACAGGGGTCAGTCCTAGGACCAGTGCTGTTTCTGGTATTTGTGAACGACATGACAGAAGGAATAGACTCCAAAGTGTCCCTGTTTGCAGATGACGTGAAGTTGATGAGAAGAATTCATTCGATCGAAGACCAGGCAGAACTACAAAGGGATCTGGACAGGCTGCAGACCTGGTCCAGCAATTGGCTTCTGGAGTTCAACCCCACCAAGTGAAAAGTCATGAAGATTGGGGAAGGGCAAAGAAGACCGCAGTCGGAGTTCAGTCTAGGGGGCCAGAGACTACAAACCTCACTCAAGGAAAAAGATCTTGGGGTGAGTATAACACCAGGCACATCTCCCGAAGCGCACATCAATCAAATAACTGCTGCAGCATATGGGCGCCTAGCAAACCTCAGAACAGCATTCCGACATCTTAATAAGGAATCGTTCAGGACCCTGTACACCGTGTACGTTAGGCCCATATTGGAGTATGCGGCACCAGTTTGGAACCCACACCTAGCCAAGCACGTAAAGAAACTAGAGAAAGTGCAAAGGTTTGCAACAAGACTATTCCCAGAGCTAAGAGGTATGTCCTACGAGGAGAAGTTAAGGGAAATCAACCTGACGACACTGGAGGACAGGAGAGATAGGGGGGACATGATAACGACATACAAAATACTGAGAGGAATTGACAAGGTGGACAAAGACAGGATGTTCCAGAGATGAGACACAGCAACAAGGGGACACAGTTGGAAGTTGAAGACACAGATGAATCACAGGGATGTTAGGAAATATTTCTACAGCCACAGAGTAGTCAGGAAGCGGAACAGTTTGGGAAGCGATGTAGTGGAGACAGGATCCATATATAGCTTTAAGCAGAGGTATGATAAAGCTCAAGGTTCAGGAGTGACCTAGTAGCGACCAGTGAAGAGGCGGGGCCAGGAGCTAGGACTCGACCCCTGCAACCTCAACTAGGCGAGTACAACTAGGTGAGTACACATACACACACACACACACACACACACACACACACACACACACACACACACAGTGTGTGTGTATACACCGGGAGGTTTGTATTTCTCGGTGTATATACGGTAAGATATACATCTTTGATTATTATAATCACAACCAAGCGCTAAACCCAGATATATCTCCTTTCAGTATATATACACTAAGATGCGCACCTTTCAGCGTATATACCTGGCTATTAACCCCTGGGAAAGATTTAAAAATTCGCCATATTTCCTCTCCAAGTGTTGATTAGTTGTGAATAATTCTTGAGAGGTTATGGAAAGTTGAGATGTGAAGTCTGCTTCATGATGTAAGTGACCTAGCAGTAGTAAGTGGCTTACAAGGGTCAAGTTTCCTTGTAAAATGGCTCATTTGCCTATAAACCTGACCTGGTAGTCAAGCTTATAGGCTGTAAATGGCCTTACAAAGCGAAAAAGCCTAGAAATCATCCTTAATTGTAGTCTAATTTTCCCTTAGAAGTGACTTTCGGAAAGTATATCTTAAGACCTTTGTGAGTGACCCTGAAGTATCTTGATGTACTGTATTAGTCTTAGGAAGTTAAGCCATCCTGAGAGATGGTAATTTTCAAATAGTATCACACTAACTTCAGTTCTGCGGAAAGGAAACAAAGGAAACCCCTTGAAGTTCCTGTAGCTCCTGAATTCACAGTAGAATGATCGACGATATCCTCATTGTCTTAAATATACCTGTTCATTCTAAGAGATTGCTTTACTTCATGTACAAAGGCCATAGTTTGATGGAACATGGCAGGAAAATATCGCTGTCTTTTGCTTTTCCTCTGTAACTGCAATTTGGAGTGCAGTAGCACCACACTACTATTGTACAAAATTTTGTTTCATTAAAAAAAATGCAAAAGCTAATATCTTCCCTCGCCAAAAGCTACCTAACATATCTATATAAACACATCAAGTAGCCGATGGACAATACAGCTTCTCCAACATTTGAAAACAGTATTTACCTTCACCATCATCCCCAAAAAGCGACAAAAGGTCTGATCTCTAGCATTTCTCAGCGAATATACCTTCCATATGTAAAAAAAAAATAAAATGATCTTATTGCATACCTCTGTTTAGCAAAAACTCACCGTTGCACCAAGGAAGCCTTCCCGTGGGACATACTAATGTATTACGTTTTCCACAGATCAACACGAGGTTCTTGCTATACACAAGGGAGAGAGGAGAGAGGGAGAAGGTGATCAAGCCTCACAATATCTCTACTATATTTACTTCTCACTTTAACACCTCCCGCCCCACCAAGCTTCTCATCCATGGCTTCGGCTCCTCCTGTCACAGTGTGTGGATACGAGAGATGCGGGTAGCTCTCCTCGCAATGGTAAGTGTTATTATGGATGAAAGACGCTTAGGACATCTTTGTTTGATACGTTTCGGTCCTAGGACTTTGATCACTTCAGACTACGAAAGAACGAGAAAGCACAGTATATGTATGCCTGAAGTCGCCTAATTGTCATAAAACGCGGCAACCGAGAAGTATCATGTTGTGCTAGGCGTAATGGAATGCAATAGTTGCCAGCCCTTTGTTCTAATTTATGAGATGGCCCCTTTAAAGAATAAAAAGGAACAATATCGTTAACTAGTGACTAGTTAATAGTCCAAGTGATATGTGCGGGTTATTTGTGCATGGCCCTCTTTATCTCTGTACAACACAAGTATTACTATTGTCTTCTTGATTACAACCATACTTGTGTTCTCTCCACACATTCCAGAACACAAATGTGCTTGTAACAGAAGTGACTTCGGAAACACTTATACAGAGATCTAGAGAGGGTGATATGCATTCGAACTATGCAGACATGATCTAACACTCAGATACCTGATGTATAATCAGGTACTCTACCACTCGGATACCTGATGTATAATTGAGGTACTCTACCACTCGGATACCTGATGTATAATTGAGGTACTCTACCACTCGGATACCTGATGTATAATTGAGGTACTCTACCACTCGGATACCTGATGTATAATTGAGGTACTCTACCACTCGGATACCTGCCATACTACACCACTCCGGTACTCTCACTACCACTCAAATACCTGTCTTACCGTACCACTCTGATAACCTCACAGTCTCATACTTGCGATACCAATCAGGTACTTTGACACTCGACGTCTATGCACTTTCCTCCCCCATACCAGTGTCCTAGTTTGCTTTATTTTCTGAAAACTTTCATATAAAATTTCATGACTAATAATTATGAATGTTAAGAAAAGTCTAGAACTGTGTGGACATACACCTATTACAATATATATTTAAAATATTAAACTTTATATCAAGTTCTCACCTCACTGGCGTACTTATTTTTCAATTAATGGCCAATTGTCACTGCATTGAATTGACCAGTGATTACGAAGCGATATAGTTTAAGACATCTCGCATGCATACTGAAAATCATGTCTTTTTACAAACGAATTCTTTGATTTTTTCAGCATCTTATGAATTTTAAGCCCCACCCCCCATTACCCTCCCCTTCCAGATTAAAATTTTGGCTGCGCCACTGTCACTTCTGGTGGGTCGCGCTGCGCATGTTGTGGCGGAATCTCGATCCTTTATTCATTATTAATCTTGAGAAAAATACTCCATGTTCTCTGGGAAGGTTCACAGACACCCTCCCTCCCTCCCTCCGGTGCGGTGTGTTCAACGTGGTATGGCCGTTGACCCTCCCTCCCTCCTCCATTACTGTAGATGGAGGAAATTTGTGACTTGCTATTTGCTGTGTTCTCATTTCAAACTAACACACTTATTTTCATGATAATATTCACAAGTGCTGAACCCACATGGGTCATAGTGCAAATCCTTCATAATTTCTGTCAATAGGCAAAGCTTTAATCAAACCTGTAATTCCTCTAAATTAAACTTATTAAAGCCATATAGCATGAACTAACAGGATATTCAATCGTCTTATATTCATTGTAAAATCCTAAATTATGCTTACACTCACCCAAGTGACCGTATGTATAAAATTACTCATATTGTTATTGCCTTATTAAACCACGGTACGGGTGGGGATTGAACTCGCAGCGAGTTGTAAACTCCAGACCGACGCGTTAGCCACTGGGCCAGCTGGCTACAATAAGATTCATCCAACTAGGTATTTTTATACACCATTAGAAGGTTAGCATAGGCACCACTGTGAACACAAATGCAAGTTTTTACAGATGAATCTCTTCGCCAGCGAAGTCAATCCCCGCCCGTACTGTGGTTTGTTTGCAATCGTGTCATTATAGTTTCTTAAACCATTGCCTTATTATTCTTAAATTAGTCCTAAGTTTGCCCAAAATTCCATTGCATATATAGAGGGCTTTCTGCATTTACACCCAAGTGCCAGTCTACCTTTGCACAAGCATTGTATCATTCTGAAATAAAATATTATTATTATTATAATGGTTCATTCCTTTGAATCAAGTACTTAGTTCCTTTCAAAGTACAGTTTTTTTTAGTTTAATATCTTTATTATGTGCCCCATACCCATCCTGTGGGCAGTAGTCAAAAACTTAGAGGTGCATAATAAGTCCAGGAACTGAGCCGTCTTTCAAAGTCTAGCCCTTCCCCAGGATGTGATCTACCATAGTTAATTGATAGCCAGGTACCTATTTACTGCCAGGTGAAGAGGAACAACAGATGTAAGGAAATTTGCAATTATTATCAGCAGGCCTGTCTCCTCTTAAAAACAAAAACTATACAAAGACTATAACTATAGTCTCCTGGATACATTTATTATTACTGAAACTCCCCTGAGGGGGTCTCTTAGGTACAAACAAGGTTTGCTTTATATAGCAGTGCCAGTAGAACTCTTGAGTCGAACATAAGTGTAATACTGTTGTATATTCATTGAGAAGCATTAATTCTGTAAGGTTAGTACAGTACAGTGCTTTAGTACTGCTTTACACTAACGACCCCTTTCAAAGCAAGCCACATTGCAAACTACTGGGAACGGTTGAAGTCCCTTGACCTGTATTTCTTGGAACATAGGCGAGAGAGAGATACATCATAATATACACTTCAAAAATCCTAGAGGGACTTAACCCACATTTACACACACAAATCACTCCTTATGCCAAGAGACAACACAATAAGGATCAGGGGCCCAAGACTGTTCAATTGCCTCTCAGCATACATAAGGGGGATTATCAATAGACCCCTGGCTGTCTTCAAGAGGGAGCTGGACAGACACCTAAAGTCAGTATCTGACCAACCGGGCTGTGGTTCGTAAGTCGGTTTGCGTGTGGCCAGCAGTAACAGCCTGGTTGATCGGGCCCTGATCCACTGTGAGGCCTGGAAGGTGTTCTGGGGCCGTTGATTCTCAGAACATCTTCCAGATATGATACAAGGTAAATGAGGACATTCCAATTTCTTGGATATACAGCTCCTCGCCAACATTAATAACAACCCCATATAACTACAGTGTAAGGTATTGTGATTGAACTGATAATTTGTTAAATTTATTACTGTCATTCTAAATCCTGTAAATTTTGTAAACAGCTCACTACCACTAACTTGCTTAGCAAACAGATATTGAGGCCTATCTCCTAGGCGACAATGTGAAATGTGTGCATATAAAATTGAGCTTAACTCATCATACAGTGTGAAGCCAAGAAACTTGTATTATTTTTTTTTTAAACTTAATATTGTACATCTTCCCACAGATGGATGTCAACATTATCTGTGTGAACTGGCATAAGGGAGCTGAGGTGCCTAACTATGTAAGAGCTGCTAGTAACACCCGCCTTGTTGGTCGACAGGTAGGTCAGGTATGACCCACAAGGGTTCATACAGTGCCTTACTCTCATCTCTCTCTGATTCTAGGGACCCACAAACTGAGAAAAACCAAGAATATTGTCCTAACTAAACCTAATGAAACACCACTACATCCCACTGACACAGCTAACAAGATAAACGACTTCTTCTCAAACATAGGATCTAATCTCGCCAGTTAAATCCCACATACCAATGCCCATGCCAAGGACTACCTAGATGGAAATTTCCCTAATTCCTTCTATCTTGCACCAACTGAGCCAACGGAAGTCATTGAGATCATAAAGTCACTTAAAAATAACTCGGGGAATCTGTCTCATGTCCCACCATTACTGTACAAGCGAGCGGCCCATGTCCTTTCGCATGCTATTTCATTACTTTTTAACAAGTCAATAGAGACTAGCACCTTCCCGAAACTACTCAAGATGGCAAGGGTTACACCAATACATAAAGGTGGTGACCCTACAGACTTAAACAACTATAGGCCAATATCTAACTTACCATTGCTATCCAAAATCTTTGAGAAACTCGTGCACAGGAGACTGTATTCATTTATAACGGCTCAAAACATACTCAACCCCTGCCAGTTTGGATTCAGGAAAAATAAAAGCACTAATGATGCAATCATAAAAATGCTAGATCTGCTTTACACAGCATTGGAAAATAAGGAATATCCACTAGGAATTTTTATTGACCTAAGAAAAGCTTTTGACACAGTAAACCACGAAATCCTACTCCACAAACTTGACCACTACGGTATAAGAGGCCATGCGCTTGCTTATTTCAAATCTTACATTACTAATAGGTATCAGTACGTCACCATTAAAGACACAGCATCAGCAACACGGCCACTTGATACTGGAGTTCCGCAGGGAAGTGTCCTTGGTCCCCTGCTCTTCCTCATATACATCAATGACCTTCCAAACGTATCCCAACACCTGAAACCCATTCTCTTTGCTGATGACACGACTTATGTCATCTCTCACCCTAATCTTGCCACCCTCAACACCATTGTGAATGAGGAGCTGATTAAAATATCGACTTGGATGACAGCCAATAAACTTACGCTTAACACTGACAAAACTTACTATATTATGTTTGGTAGCAGAGCAGGAGATGCACAAATTAACATTAAGATTGACAACACTCTAATTACCAGAAATAATGGGGGAAAATTCCTAGGCTTATACCTTGACAACAACCTGAATTTCAGCACCCATATCCAGCATATAGCCAAAAAAGTATCCAAAACGGTTGGGATCCTCTCCAAGATACGATACTACGTGCTGCAAAATGCCCTTCTCACACTATACCACTCACTTATTTATCCATACCTCACCTATGCTATTTGTGCTTGGGGATCAACTGCAGCAACACACCTAAAGCCAATAATAACCCAACAAAAAGCTGCAGTAAGAATAATCACTAAATCCCATCCCTGGCAGCACACCCCCCCCACTCTTCAAAGATCTAAACTTACTCCCAGTTCAGTACATCCACACTTACTACTGTGCAATCTATATCTACAGGGCCTTAAACTCTAATATCAACCTTGACCTAAAATGCTTTCTTGATAGTTGTGACAGAACCCACAGGCATAACACCAGAAACAAACATCTCTACGACATTCCCCGTGTCCGACTAAACCTTTACAAAAATTCAATGTATGTCAAAGGCCCTAAAATCTGGAATACCGTACCTGAGAACTCTAGAACTGCAGACACATTCATCACCTTCAAAACTACCATTGGAAAACATCTTATCTCCCTGATACACCCCATCAACTAACTACACGAATACCACCTGGTGGTTCACACTTACACTCGCTCACTCATTTGACCATAAACAGAAATATTAATCTCAGTCTTAAAATAATGAATCCTGTGATACTCCAATGCTGAAACTATATACTGTGCCAAAACAAAAGCATTCACATTGCTAAACTCACAAACTAGTATTTAGTCACTTAGCCATAATACCAACTTACCTCATAATTTGTAATATTTTACAATTAAGAATAAAACTAAGTATGCCCGAAATGCCTAGCCATGCTAAGCGTTCTAGTGGTAAACTCTGTAATCACAATTTTACTACATGTAAACCAAACAATAACCAAATTTCTGTAAACTCAGCATTGTAATCCTTATAGAGAATAAACTTTGAATTTGAATTTGAAAGGTATACTCCATAATAGTATTGTGCTCATGGGGTCATACAGTGCCTGGAGATTGGAGGCAATCAAGTTTGAGCCAAAGGTTGGAAATAATAGCTTAAATTCTTTGGACTAAGAGCCTATGGAAAATTTTATAGGGGGTTACCTGCATGTACTTCTTCTTTCTTTCAACACACCGGCCGTATCCCACCGAGGCGGGGTGGCCCAAAAGGAAAAACGAAAGTTTCTCCTTTTACATTTAGTAATATATACAGGAGAAGAGGTTACTAGCCCCTTGCTCCCGGCATTTTAGTTGCCTCTTACAACACGCATGGCTTACGGAGGAAGAATTCTGTTCCACTTCCCCATGGAGATAAGAGGAAATAAACAAGAATAAGAACTAGAAAGAAAATAGAAGAAAACCCAGAGGGGTGTGTATATATGTGCTTGTACATGTATGTGTAGTGTGACCTAAGTGTAAGTAGAAGTAGCAAGACGTACCTGAAATCTTGCATGTTCATGAGACAGAAAAAAGGACACCAGCAATCCTACCATCATGTAAAACAATTACAGGCTTTCGTTTTACACTCACTTGGCAGGACGGTAGTACCTCCCTGGGCGGTTGCTGTCTACCAACCTACTACCTATACCTGCATGTACCTCAACATTATATGCATACAAGTAATCTCATTGGGAGACGACAGCCATATTGTTTACCGTAGTCACCCCGTGTAGACATGTGAGAAAACTTAACCACCCCTGGTCACTGCAGGTGGTTCCTTCGACCCTCACAATCTTATCCATATCTATCCAAGACCAGTATAAATTGGATAGCACCCACAAGTAAGGTGCTACTAATTAATTGTGGACTGTATAGATTATATTAGTTTACTTGAATGAAGGGGGGGGGGGTTACACATGGATATATCCATCAAGGAAAAACACTTGTACATAATCCCACCACTTACCAGATATTCTCTGGTGGTCACTTGATGTAGCTGGATCACCCATAACCTATCCAATTACAACATACCTAACTGGCCAGTATCAGTCTGCTATAACTAGAAGGGTTACTTAACTGTGGGTGATTGATACTCCTTATTTCCTCCATTCACCATCTCATTTCGATGTCCTGCTACACCGACACGGTTCTTATTCCAGCAGGATGAAGTATTCGTTGGTTTGTCCCGGTTTACAAGTTGTGACTCCATAAAAACTTCACTATCCTCAGGATGGGAACCACGAGGACTAACGTGTTCACTTGGAGCAGGGCGACTTGTTTCACTTCACGCATTCTCTTAACTTATTGTTATTATCACTGATTACATTACAATTCACAAAACGATTTAATGTCTCATAATTATTATACACATTAGAGGTCACTCCATTAAGATCTGAGACTGATGAGTGAGGATTAAATCATGGGTATTTTCCCCTGGACACACTCCATGGCGGTGCACTAGTCACCCCCGGTCCCACCATTATTCACTAATTTTACCACTTTGTTACAGTGGTCCCGTAAATCACGTTCCCTCACTCTTCACCAGGAACAGTTACGACACTTCCTATTATGAAGTGAGGCCTATATTAATCCTTAGGCCGCCGTGAATGCCAATTTCCTGGTCCCATGCTTTCCCAGCTTCTTCACTCAGTTCAGAAAACTCCCGCTCCCCGATGCCCTGTCTCGACCTCTTCCCCCCCACATCCGCGCAGGCGCAGCGGGAACCCTGTTGGTTCTATTCCATTTTCAAATACATTTTGACCCAAATCAACACATTAAACACTTATTAGGCACTATAGCTTCGGAAATTAAATAATTTCCACAGAGCCCTTCAATTCTCTTGTATTCATTGTAACTCTTAATTTTATTTTTACAACCACATAAGAGACTATATATAAGCAATCAATTAGTTATTGCCTATTGCATATTAAGGGGGCTTTCTGCATGCACACCCAAATGTCTTTCAAGTCTGTACAAACATTTTTTCTTTTCAACAAATTGGCCATATCCCACCGAGGCAAGGTCACCTAAAAAGAAAAATGAATGTTTTTTCTTTGTAAATTTAGTAATGTATACAGGAGAAGGGGTCACTAGCCCCTTGCTCCCGACATTGTAGTTGCCTCTTACGACATGCATGGCTTAAGGAGGAAGAATTCTGTTCTATTTTCCCATGGAGAGCAAACATTGTATTATGTTGACATAAAGAATCTTTAATCTTACAGTATTAAGGATTTTCCCTTGAAGGGTTCTGACTTCAATGATAGCTAAAATTTTGCCAATAAAGATATTAGTACATATTATATATTACGCCTACCTCTTCAGCACTGTATATCCCTTTTAAGGGAGGTACCTCGGTGACAAAGGCTGATTACCTCCCCTCCATGCCTCAAGTGCTCTATGGCCTATACGAGTTTAGTGCCTCCTATGAATATACAGTAATGCTGTAATTTCTTCAGTATGTTGTATTACTGTTTTATAATTCTTGCTGGTCACTTAAGTACACAGTTATAATAAATCACAAAAAATATCCGAGACAATAACAATCATGTCAAATTGGATAAATTCATATTTAGATTATTATTATTATTATAATCAAGGGGGAAGCGCTAAACCCGGAGGATTATACAGCGCCTGGGGGGGGGATGTGGAAGGCATTCAGGCTTAATTTGGGGAACTGGAGCACAGATCCAATTCCCTAAATCAAGAGCCCCTCACCAACATCAAGGAACCTTTCTTGAGGGGTTCATATTTAGAAATTCAAAAATTTATTTGGAAAGACATCATATGTATAATAGTTACTTTGAAGAACTCATAGTAATGCACAGCACTTAGAGCATCCTTAAATAGAATAAAAACTACTTACCAAAACATATGTGCAGGATTTCCCAAGTTTGTATTCTAGGGTATACAGTACTAGAATACTATAAAATAGTCAGAATGAGGAGTTTCCCTTTGGGAGACTGGCAGAGCATGACTAGTGATCTGAATGGCTAAGTCTGTATGTTCACTATACTGTATGCCAGTATTTACAGGGACGTAGCAAAAAATTACTTAGTGCTTGCTAGAAATATGACATAATACTGCTTTATGCATATGAAGCACAATGGGATGCAGGGAGTCATATTCTGGATACTTTGTAATGCACTTCACAAGTCTGAAACAACAACAACAGAGGAAGTGGACATAGTTGCATTATGTATGATAGCAATAAATATGGCATATAAATTTGCTGTGAAACTGCAGGCCAGCTCTAGTAAATGCTCCTGGAAACCACCTTGTACCCTACCTGATATACAACACCAGGATGGCACCTCCGTAATTGACTGAGCAAGGTTTAGCAAAACCTGTTTAGACAGCACTAACTGTCCGATTATTTTTTGATTAATAGTGATTGTGGATAAACTGGCAAAAATTTCAGGAGTCATTTATCTTCAGTTGCCACTTCTGAATCTGCTAACAACTTTCAGTAATACTTCCATCCTCAGAGTGCTTACCAGATGGCCGTCATCTCATCAGAGGAATCATTTGACAGACCCTAAGATGATCTAGGTTGCTTCAGATTGACATAACCACCACAGAGCTACCAATGGAAGTCATATTGGAAGAGGGCTGATAGTGTTCTCATTTTAATCTGTGTCTGAGCTAGATTTCACAAAAGAGTAAAATATCCTCACTAATGATACCAATTGGAGAAAGGAAGGATGGGGAATTTAGATTCGATCCAAGGAAAGGGAAAAGAAGTCCAATTCCTCAGATCAAGAACCCCTTCACTATGGCATGAGACTCCTCTTAAAGGGGTGAAAACTAGAAATAGACTGGACTGGTACACTAGTTAACATGGTTAGGTGTAAGTAATGTCTGTTTGGGATGGGCCAGTAGGCCTGCTAAAATGGTCTTTTGGTTTGTATGTTCATATTGTAACTGCCATCATGATGTCCTCCGGACAGGTGGCTCTGCTGATTGAGACACTCAACGCTCGTCTCAACACGACACTTGATGACTTCCACCTCATTGGCTTCTCGCTGGGTGCCCACGTATCAGGTCATGCAGGTGCCAGGCTTAAGAACCTCTCCAGGATATCTGGTAAATAATGTTTTTGTATATAGCTTCATTAATCCTATCAGTTGGGTTCTGGGAGTCAAAGCTCCCAAGGGTGTTCACTTGATAACCTAAAGAATTTATTCTGTTGAAGGAGTGAGCTAAACCCATTATTCTGTTGAAGGAGTGAGCTAAACCCATAAGTGGTCATAGTATCAAGAGAATGGGAAGTAATTAGGCATAATCTGAGAGGGTGGCTCCAGTTCCTTGCATCAAGAGCCCTTCACCCTTGAAGGAGGGTGGTGATCATTATTATTACCATATGCTAATGGGGAAGTGCTAAGCCTACAAAGGCCATACAGCACCTGGGAAATAGGAGGTAATCAGGGTTGATCCAAGTAATACGAGAGTAACCCTAATTCCTTGGATCAAGAACACTTCACCAGTATTGAGGCACCTCACTTGAATGGAGCATGATCTTTAGGAAGCCAAACCAAAGTTTCTGCTTTTCAAAACCAATTGGTAAAAACTCACTGGCTGTGACAGGTCACCCGTTTAAGAGAAGTGCATTGATGCTAGTAAAGGACTCTTGATCCAAGAAGTTGGAGTTACCCTACAGTTCCCTAGATCAAAACTGATTAGCTTCCATTCTCCAGGCACTATATGGCCCCTGCAAGTTTAGTATTTCTCATGATTATACTATTATGTCAGTTTTATGGCAGTTACAGCTGGAATATATGCCTTACTTTTCAGATGTGAGAAAGTTTAATTTGTTTACATTATAAAAGCAATTGGTTTCATTTACAGGGCTAGACCCAGCAGGGCCACTCTTCGAATCATACTCCCCATCAGTTCGTCTAGATCACACAGATGCGCGCTTTGTTGATGTAATACATACCAATGCAGATTCCCTCCTGATGGGAGGACTTGGAGCCTTTGAGCCCATGGGACATGTTGACTTCTATCCTAATGGTGGGAGGATGCAGAAGGGCTGTGCTAACCTCTTTGTTGGAGGAGTCTCAGACATCTTGTGGCGTGAGTCCTGCTGTCAGGTTTTCATGTTTCTTCAATTACATCATGGCTTGATGACCAAGACAAGTTGCAGAAAAGGCTTGTATTGTGATGACATTTTTTTATGTAGATCTTTATCAGTGACCTAATAAAGCTCTTTACAGAACAATACACTGCTCTAGCAAAAGCTTATTCTACAACTTGTCTTGGTCGTCATATGTTAGCAATATGCCATTGCATCCTATGTTTTAGCTTAATTGGTACATCTTACAGCTTCTCATGTTTAGTACCTTACAAGTGCAGTGCATTTTTTCATATTTACATGATCTTTTGCATCTGTTTTTGTACAATGTCCAGTTATTCTACAATATGAATATCTCTAACTCCCTGATGCTACACAGAGACCCCTTGTACCTTAAACTAGGAATGCCCTTCCAGTTATAATTGATTGTCCAGTATATGATTTATGTCCTGATTAGCACCATGAGACCTTTCCTACTTATAATTTTCTACTTATCCTTCCTGTGAAATGGATTATCAGCTGAACACTAGCCCTCTTTTCCTTTCATAAATCATCCTTACAAGCTTTCCACCAGTCGTCTTCTAAAGATGGCTAAACCACCAGGAAAAAAACGTCTCTTACTCGTACTACTGTCCCACTCCTTGTTACCCATACTACTAACTCACACTACCCCACATTTACTCTTCTAGAGAGGGTGCCTTGAAGATGCTGAAGGACTCTTAATCCAAGGAAATGGAACTATGATCCCATTCCTTAAACACCTTTGGTTATGAACATCTGCACTTACAAACTGGAACTTAGATACCAGTAATTTTTTTACAAAAACTATCTACTATACAAATTTGTGAAACAACCATCTTTTGTACTACCGTTTTCTACACAATCAACTTATAAGTTGAAACACCAAGAATGCAACTCATCTGTGAGTTGGTTGAACTCTTGTATAATACTGCAATTATATCTGTCCTTATAGTGACCTGAGCTTCCTTTCCCACAGCTACTGAGGGTGATGGGCGGTATTTGTGTAACCACAGGAGAGGTTACAAATATTACCTCAATTCAGTAGCTCCCATCTGCACTTTCCCGGCCTTTGTGTGTCGTGACTATGAGACCTTCCTCAAGGGTGACTGCTTTCCCTGTGAATCCTGTGGCAACATGGGCTATTTTTCTGACAAGGCTGAGGGACGTGGTCAACTCTACTTAGTCACCAGGGACACCGAGCCTTTCTGTGGTGCGTACCTTTTGAAAGTATCAGATGTATTGAATTATACTATTAATAGGTAACAAATACATTCAGCCCATTCATTGGTAAGGACAAGGTACAGTATATTTAATTCTTCTATGGTATTTATACCATAAAAGGATATACATACATTTATTTATTAATTTGAACATGATACAGAGTAGTACAAATGAATACAGTTAAATGCAACATGCCAAAGCCCCTTGTATGCAGAGCATTATGGGCAGGCTTAAAACTAACTTAAGATTAACTAAGCAGTGATATATTCAGTGGTAAAACATTGTTGTAAACAGATAACAATTAAGCACAAATGAGTATTACAAAGACAAGTCATATGGTCATTTACTGTATTGCTGTGCATTCAGTTAGGTAATGTAATTAAAAAATAACAAAGTTAACAAAGTTTGATTGGGTATCAGGTTAAACATTTATGAGATACAATTATGAGAAACATTTATGAGATACAATTTTTAAGATACAGTTATTCAGTATTTATTTGGTTGTGGGTGAGTAAGTGATTTTTGAGAAGAGACTTGAATTTATAGACAGTGTTTCTTTTATATTTACAGGTAATGAATTCCAGATTTTAGGGCCTTTTATGTGCATTGAGTTTTTGCATAGCGTGAGATGGACACGAGGGATATCAAAGAGTGATCTGTGCCTTGTGTTATGGTCATGTGTTCTGTTGAGGTTGGTAAGGAGACGTTTGAGGGGAGGGTTTATATCCGAGTTAAGTGTTCTATGTATGTAATAGGTGCAGTAATAAGTATGGATGTTTTGTATGGTGAGTAGGTTTAGGGCTTTGAATATTGGTGGTGTGTGCTGCCTATAGTGGGAATTTGTTATCATTCTGACTGCAGCCTTTTGTTGGGTAATTAGTGGTCTGAGATGGTTTATTGTTGTTGAGCCCCATGCACAAATTCCATAGGTGAGATAGGGGTAAATAAGTGAGTGATATAGGGCCAGGAGGGCTGACTGTGGAGTACTGTATCTTCGATAGTATGCCTACGGTCTTTGAAATTTTCTTGGAAATTTGCTGTATACGTGTATATGTTTGAAATTTGAGTCTATTATCAAGGTGGATTCCTAAGAATTTTCCCTCTGTGAGTTTTGTGATAGGTGATCCGTTTATCATTATGTTAAGAGGGACATCTGTAGCTCTGTTACCAAACTGAATGAAGTAGGTTTTGTCAATGTTTAGAGTAAGTTTGTTAGTCCTCATCCAGGTAGATATTTTCTGTAATTCGGTATTTACAGTATTGGCTAGCATGACTTGGCTCGAGTGAGAGAAGACGTATGTAGTGTCATTTGCAAATAGTGTGGGTTTGAGTAATTGCGATGCATTTGGTAGGTCATTTATGTATATGAGAAAGAGAAGAGGGCCAAGGACACTTCCCTGTGGGACACCAACTGTAATTGGCTGTGCGGAAGAGTTTGCCCCATTTGTGTATACATATTGGCTTCTGTTGCTGAGGTATGACTTGAGGCAGTTGAGGGAGTGCCCTCTATGGTATACATAGTGTGACAATTTTATATGGAGCAAGTCATGGTCAACTGTATCAAAAGCTTTACATAAGTCAATGAAGATCCCCAGTGGGACTTCTTTTTTCTCTATTGCAGTGTATATATGTTCTAGCATGTGTATAATAGCATCATTAGTATTTTTATTAGGCCTGAACCCAAATTGACAGGGGTTGAGTATGTTTTGGGAGATGAGGTAAGAATAGATTCGATGATGAATTAATTTTTCGAAGATTTTAGAGAGGGTGTAAGTTGGATATTGACCTATAGTTATTCAAGTCTGTTTGGTCTCCTCCTTTATGAATCGAGGTCACCCTTGCTATTTTGAGAACTGAAGGGAAGGTAGAGGATTCGATGGATTTGTTAAAGAGTGTTGCAATGATTGGTAATAGCACTTGTGATGCTTTTTCGTATATAAAGGGTGGTAAGGTATTTAATGACCTGACGATCTGTTGGAGTGTGAGCAGGGTAATATTTAGTGAAGGGATTCAGGGAAACCGGTTATTTTCATATAGTCGGACTTGAGTCCTGGAAATGGGAAGTACAATGCCTGCACTTTAAATGAGGGGTTTGGGATATTGGCAGTTTGGAGGGATATGTTGTGTATCTTTATACGTATATGCTTCTAAACTGTTGTATTCTGAGCACCTCTGCAAAAACAGTGATAATGTGTGAGTGTGGTGAAAGTGTTGAATGATGATGAAAGTATTTTCTTTTTGGGTATTTTCTTTCTTTTTTGGGTCACCCTGCCTCGGTGGGAGACGGCCGACTTGTTAAAAAAAAAAAAAAAAAAAGTTGGGTTAGTCGGAGCTAGGAACAGTGTGTTCGGGTAGTTGCCAGTGAGGTAGTCACTGGGTGAGGTATCTGAGCTTGGGATTTTATTGGCAAGGTTTTTTTCTATAGTGGAAAAGAAATCATTGAGTGGTTGCTGTTTTAGTTGGTGGGAGTTGGGGTTCATCTGATTTTGTTAATTTAATTTCGCTATTTCGTGATACCTTTTTTGTTCCTAGAATTTCTGATAAGGTTTTCCAGGTCTTTTTTATATCACCTCGTAAGTTGGATAATCTGTTCTCATAATACAATTTTTTAGCCCTTCTTATCAGGCTGGTTAGGACTGACGAGTAACGTTTTGTTTGGTCTCTGGTTATGTGACCCATTCTGTACTGTTTTTCATATAGGTGCTTTGTATTTATGGATTTGAGGATGCTGGGTGTTAGCCAGGGACTGTTCAGTCTCTTAGCTATCATCTGTTTAGTTTTTTTAGGGCAGTGCTTGTTATAGAGGTATTGGGTCTTTTTTAGAAAATTAATACATTCGTCAATATCTGTATAGATTTCTAGCTCAGTGTGCCAGTCAATGTTTGTCACTGCTGTTGTGAAGTTATTAATGGCTAAAGTTATTAATAGCTAATACCTACTACTGATAGGTATTAGGTACATATGTCCATTATTGCAGTAGGTACCAGATACTGTATATTCATTCTTAGGGTACGTACTGTACAAGTTAAATTATATAATGTGTATTTCTTCTACTCTGTGTTTGCCGACCTAGAGCTTCAGTTCTTGAGCTATTCCTTTCAAATATTAATCAGTGTAATGCCTGCTAAGCCCCACAGGCTGGATCATACTTATATTCAAATTCATGTATGGGTTTAACTTCTGCTTGTACATACCACTTGCTCACCACCTCACATTCATCATTTGAATGTTTCTCCCTTAGTTTTTGTGTTTTTTGCTTACTTGGCTTGCCTGGTCCTGACTCGTCTGTTTCCTTATCCAGGTCCTACTCGTCTGTACTCCCTCATCCTGGGTGCACTAGTGTTCATTCATCCTGGTCCCACTAATGTGTTCCCTCATCCTGGTCCCACCCATCTATTCTCTCATACTGGTCCTACTAGTGTGTTCATTTATTCTGGTCCCACTACTGTATTCTCCCCTTGTCATAGTCTCACACACTGTTTATCTATCCATTTTAAACATTGTGATCATTCTTTCCTTGTCCTTTCAAGCCTCCAGGGGTAAGATATTCAATTCAAACCTTTTATAATGATTCAGATCCATAATCTCAAGGCCTAACCCAGTAGGAAATCTCTGAACTATCTCAAAATTTTGTATATTTATTGAATTAAGGATTTCATGTTAGAATGGTACTACATACTCAAATATTAGCCTGTCACAGGTAGTGTACACTGTGTATCAGGGATAATGGCAAGTTAGAGATTCACCCATAGTTGTTGATTTCAGAAAGAATAAAAAAGGTACAATACTGTGACTGGAGTAACATACAAATACTCTGCACATAGGAGAAAGAAACTTATGACGTTGTCATAAGTACAATATACATTTTATTATAGCATGCAGAAAATATATGATTACCATGTGAAATTAATTTACATCTATATGTTTAAAGCTGAATAGGCATTTATATACAGATTCCGGTTTGGAAATAATTTCAACACCAGCACTGCATGATCTAATGATAAGGCATTTGTCCAAACACCCTGCATACACTAAATGTTGAATCACTTTTCCTAACACCTTGTGTGCCATAATGTTGAAGCACTTGTCCTGACACCTTGTGTGCCATAATGTTGAAGCACTTGTCCTGACACCTTGTGTGCCATAATGTTGAAGCACTTGTCCTGACACCTTGTGTGCCATAATGTTGAAGCACTTGTCCTAGCACTTTGTGTGCCATAATGTTGAAGCACTTGTCCTAACACCTTGTGTGCCATAATGTTGAAGCACTTGTCCTGACACTACATGTTATAATGATGAGTCACTTCCCCACAGCTAACCAGTATAAGGTGACAGTTCACCACTCGGGTGGACCACCTGCTGAACCCGTCACTACCTATGGTCGCCTCGACATTACCTTCATTGCTGCCGATGGTATCAATGAGACACTGCAGATCAGTCAGTGAGTATTTTTTTCCAATGAGTATGGCTTATGTCTTTGTATCTGATGATTAGTAATGTATAATTATATAGAAAGACAATTATAGGTAAACAGTACTTCATGAGGACATGGTTAACCCACGAGTCATGAAGTACTTGGGGAATGGGAGGCAATTGGGTTCTTGGCAAACGCCCTTCACTAGCTTCTAGGCACCCCATCCCTTGAAAAGACAGGAAGGCTACAGGGTGCCTGGGGAATGAAAGGTAATTAAGTTCAATACAAAGATGGTAAGGACAGCTCTAAATCCTTACCTCATGAGTCATTGAACATCAAGACACCTAGAAGGGAATAACTGTATTTTATATTCATTAGGCAGCACCAAATGAGGACATGCCTTCTGAATTCCACATACAGGGGCATAAATTATTCCACACTTTGAGTCAAAAGAAAAAGGGGTGGAATTACTATGTATGTTAGAGAAAAGTTCAAATGTGGCATCAAAAATCATATAAAGACAGAAGGGACAGACAGGGAATCAGTTTGGCAGCAGTTTCTTAAAGGGTATTAAAACCTAATCTTAGGTGTGATCTCAAGACCCCAAAACAGTAAACTTTTTTGGGGATGAAACTGCTAACTCTCCATGGGGAAGTGGAACAGAATTCTTCCTCCATAAGCCATGTGTGTCGTAAGAGGCAACTAAAATGGCGGGAGCAAGGGGCTAGTAACCCCTTCCCTTCTCCTGTATACATTACTAAAGTTAAAAAGAGAAACTTTGGTTTTTCTTTTTGGGCCACCCTGTCTTGGTGGGATATGGCCAGTTTGTTGAAAGAAGAATAAGAAATTGCAAAGGCATCAAGATACAAAAATGTAGTTTTAATGGGAGATTTTAACCTGAGCCAAACTGACTGGAGCTATTTGACAGAAAATCTAAAGTCCTAGCAGCTTTCTTGATTTAGTCCAGGACTTGCCTGACTTGCTTCACTCAAACAGGAACCTCTGTTAAATACTCTTGAGGTAAATGAAGAGTTTAGTGAAAGCAATCACAAATCACTTAGTTTCAATAATTCATGAAATTACCTTAACCCTTTGACTGTCGCGGCCGTATATATACGTCTTACGAGGTACCGTGTTTGACATATATATACTCATAAATTCTAGCGGCTTCAAATCAAGCAGGAGAAAGCTGGTAGGCCCACATGTGAGAGAATGGGTCTGTGTGGTCAGTGTGCACCATATAAAAAAAAATCCTGGAGCACGCAGTGCATAATGAGAAAAAAAAACCGACCGTTTTTTTTTTAATTAAAATGCCGACTTTGTGGTCTATTTTCGTATAGTATTTATGGTTGTATTCTCGTTTTCTTGGTCTCATTTGATAGAATGGAAAACATATTATAGAAATAAAGGTGATTTTGATTGATTTTACTATAAAAAGAACCTAGAAATGGAGCTCAAAGTAGGGGAAATGTTTGATTTTTGCCAATGTTCAAAAGTAAACAAATGATGCCATTGTCCACTAAATGTCCAACTAGCCATTCTAATATGCAGTCATAAATGGGTTGATGTTATTTACACAATTATTACAGTATTGCAGTAGTCTGCATAATAGTAAGTCTTCTATTTTTTGTTTGAATAAAAATTCAAAATAGAAAGCAAGAGTAATATCAGAGGGGCCTGGAGACATGACTGATGAGCAAAGAAAATGTTATTTTAGAGCCAGGAATGTCTGGATTGTTCATTCTGGACCTTATTTTGAAATTGTCATGTTTTTTAGTTTTGTGAAATTGGCCAAATTGCAAATTTCTGACCACATTATTAGGTAGTTGAAATCAGTAAATGGGCAGTTTTTTGTACTCAATCGATAGAAAAAGAAATAGCTGTGAGTTTGGGCGACTGGAACAATGGAATTAGCCGAAAATAGGGCTCAAAGTGGGCGAAATCGCCGATTTGTGAACAGCGCCGAGGTCGCTAACTTCGTGAGAGCACAATTCCGTCAGTTTTCCATTAAATTTCGTTTTTTTGGTGTCATTACAATCGGGAACAGATTCTCTATCATTTCATAAGAAAAAATAATTTTTTTTTTCTTTTTTAAATTTTGCGACACCAGGAGACACCTCAGGATTGGGGGTTGCGACAGTCAAAGGGTTAATTCCATGAATTCAGGTTGCAGATTATATGGGCCTAAGGGATTACCTGAGTCTTGTAGACTGGGGTAACCTGACAAAGATTTAGTGCCTATACTGTGTATCACATCATAAATGTACATTATGTACTGATGTACTGTGCTATTCATCACAATTGTTACAGTACATATATTGTGTGTACACATCTTGTTGGTACTTGCTGTGCCTTAGTATTGATAATACTTATTATTATTAGGGTTGGCACAGACATGAGTAAAGCTCATTTCCCTATCTGGGTTTAAAAAAAAAAAACACTAATTACCCACCAAGGCAGATTTTTTAAATATTGCTATTTTTCAACATTGTATAATTTATATTTACTGGTTTATTTTATCTATGTAGGACATGAAAAGTTCAATAGTATTTCAAATTTATATTGATGAACCAAAAAATGTAGCAAATTGTGCATAGCAAAAAAAAAAAAAAAAAAATTAGACAATACTTATATATCAAATACTTGTTAGCACATAAGAATTTCAGTCCTAGTAAGTCCTTTTCCATTCTATGATGCTAGTCTGCTCAGAAAGTTATGACTGGCTGCAGGACAAACTGGTGATTAGGGAAACATGTGGTAACATGGTTAAAATCTAAACTTCATAAAAATCTTGGGAGCAACATGTACACCAATTGCAAGGGGAGGCCATGCAGGTTCAAGAGTGGCCTCATCCACCTTTGGGATGGACCATGCACCGTGTTCAGTGGTCTGTTGCTAGCATATTGGATGGTAATAATGTTAGAAGAGAACTGTTTTGTTCTCTTCTAACATTATCATTAGTACACATGCTGTCATCTGAACTTCAGTGAACATAATGCAAAGCCTGACTCAACGGTGTTATCCACCTTTGAGTTGAGCTTCGCAGTGTGTTCAATGATGTTCAGATGACAGCATGTGTTATTAATGATAATGTTAGAAGAGGACAAAACAGTTCTCTTCTAACATTATTACCATTTAATATGCTATCAACAGACCACTGAACATAGTGCAGAGTGCATCCCAGAGGTAGATGAGGCCACTCTTGACCCTGCATAGCCCCACTTCCAACTGTTCAAGTTTGCAAGATTTTTAGAAAGTCTAGATTTCAACTAGTATGTGTTGCTATATTTTTCATTGGTCATCAGTTTGTTCTGCAGCCAGCATCATAACTTCTGCGGAGACTGTATACGTAACTAATTACGCCAGTTACGAGTTATCCACACGAGAAAATAATTTAAAAAATTGATTTAATGGCTCTCATCCTAGGTAGGGGGCTAGAGTCCCATAAATATTTTATAGTTACTCCACATTAGGCATGTATATGGAGTTGCCAAACAATGACTCATAGAATGTTCCAACACAGTTTCAGTATCAGTACATGTGAGTGATCAAATATAAATTTATAAGCCTTGTAACCTGCTTGTACATGTGCTCTGTTCAAACCTCATTGCAAGTCTCTCAGAGCTGAAGAATACACTATGGTCACTTGGTTTCCAGCAATGAGTAAAGGTATTTTAACAAATCAGCACAAATTATACCTCTACTCACTGCTGGAAACCAACCAATCATAGTGTATCCAGCTCTGAGAGACTTGTAATGAGGTTTGAAAAGAGCACATGTACAAACAGGTTACAAGACTTATAAATATATATTTGATCAATTCACATGTACTAACACTCTGGCTAATGGGTTGAAACTTTTTTTTTTTTTTTTCAAGTCGGCCGTCTCCCACCAAGGCAGGGTGACCCAAAAAAGAAAGAAAATCCCCAATAAGAAAATACTTTCATCATCATTCAACACTTTCACCACACTCACACATTATCACTGTTTTTGCAGAGGTGCTCAGAATACAACAGTTTAGAAGCATATACGTATAAAGATACACAACATATCCCCCCAAACTGCCAATATCCCAAACCCCTCCTTTAAAGTGCAGGCATTGTACTTCCCATTTCCAGGACTATATGAAAATAACCGGTTTCCCTGAATCCCTTCACTAAATATTACCCTGCTCACACTCCAACAGATCGTCAGGTCCCAAGTATCATTCGTCTCCATTCACTCCTATCTAACACGCTCATGCACGCTTGCTGGAAGTCCAAGCCCCTCGCCCACAAAACCTCCTTTACCCCCTCTTTCCAACCCTTTCAAGGATGACCCCCTACCCCTCTTTCCTTCCCCTATAGATTTATATGCTTTCCATGTCATTCTACTTTGATCCATTCTCTCTAAATGACCAAACCACCTCAACAACCCCTCTTCTGCCCTCTGACTAATGCTTTTATTAACTCCACACCTTCTCCTAATTTCCACACTCCAAATTTTCTGCATAATATTTACACCACATATTGCCCTTAGACAGGACATCTCCACTGCCTCCAACCGTCTCCTCGCTGCTGCATTTACCACCCAAGCTTCACATCCATATAAGAGTGTTGGTACTACTATACTTTCATACATTCCCTTCTTTGCCTCCATAGATAACGTTTTTTGACTCCATATGTACCTCAACGCACCACTCACCTTTTTTCCCCTCATCAATTCTATGATTAACCTCATCCTTCATAAATCCATCCGCCGACACGTCAACTCCCAAGTATCTGAAAACATTCACTTCTTCCATACTCCTCCTCCCCGATTTGATATCCAATTTTTCTTTATCTAAATCATTTGATACCCTCATCACCTTACTCTTTTCAATGTTCACTTTCAACTTTCTACCTTTACACACATTCTCAAACTCATCCACTAACCTTTGCAGTTTTTCTTTAGAATCTCCCATAAGCACAGTATCATCAGCCAAAAGTAACTGTCAATTCCCATTTTGAATTTGATTCCCCATAATTTAATCCCACCCCTCTCCCTAACACCCTAGCATTTACTTCTTTTACAACCCCATCTATAAATATATTAAACAACCATATATGACATTACACATCCCTGTCTAAGACCTACTTTTACCGGGAAGTAGTCTCCCTCTCTTCTACACACCCTAACCTGAGCCTCACTATCCTCATAAAAACTCTTTACAGCATTTAACCCTTTGACTGTTTCAGGCCCCTCTCTGAAACTGTCATTCTATGTCGCCAAATATTCAAAAAAAAAAAAATTATTTTTTCTTATGAAAATGTTAAGATTATTTTTCTGAGTGTTTTAGTACAAAAAAAAATTTTTTTGCCATCGGTACTTACCGAGATATAGAGCCGTGAAGTTTGCAGAAAATGAGCCGCGTATGGCAACAGCGGCGACTGCCGCTCACCCGGTAAACTTTAGTTTACTTGTAATTGAAGGTTTTTTGTTTTTTTCACTATTTTATTTTTTCACATAACTTATGTGGCCTATGAGACCAAAGTAAGGTGCAATGTATATATATACACTCGTTGTATACAACACAATAAGCACACAAACATAATTATCAATATATTGTTTACAAAACTTGTTTACAAAAACAAACAAACAATCATCCTTCTCCTCCTCCTTCTCCTCCTCCTCCTCCTTCTCCTTCTCCTCCTCCTTGTCTTGTGTGGGAGTGTGTGGCTTATAATTGTTTTGAGTCAGAAGTCGGCAGCTGTCAAAGTGACATACTGTCTCATTAGTCACTCCCCCTACCGCTTGTCAAAACAATGGGGTCGGATGCTGCTTCCCCTCCTCCATTCTATCTAATTATCTTTCTCCCTCATTCTATATCTTTCAATCTGTCTCTCTTTCTATCTGTCTGCCTATCTCTGTCTCACAGGTACACATAAATACAAGTATACATAGTGTAAATTACCTAGGATAACCCAAGAAATCCAGACAAAGTGCTATACTCTGCTTGAAGATGTGAGTAAATGTGATGACAGTCTTGTGGCTCTCTCTGAGACAGAGAGCTAGATGGACAGACAGACAGAAATGTTTGTGTACCAGCAAAAACAAAGGGAGGGCGATGGTCATGTAATATTACCCTCCTTTACGCTCATCAAAGTCAGCTCTTATCAGATGTTATCTCCCCTTATCTTGTCACTGTCATGGGGTGGACTTTTTTTTTTCTTGCTTCAAGGGAACAATATTATTACATCTTCTTCCTCCTCCTCTTCTTCTCCTCCTCCTCCTCCTCCTCCTCCTCCTCCTCCTCTTCCTTCCTCCTCCTCCTCCTCTTCCTCCCCTCCTCCCCCTCCTCCTCCTCCATTGCTTTTGGTCTCAAACTCCTCCAAATCATGAAATTGATCTTCACTGACACTTCCATCTGTGTTAGAGCATCACTTGGGAAGAGAAGAGTCCCAGATTTGCTGGGGAGTCACATATTTCTTACCGCTAGACATGCTGAAAAAGGACAACTGAAATGGCATTCCCACAATGCACCACTGGCTCCCCGATTTTTTTTATATGGTGCACACTGACCATGGAGACCCATTCTCTCACATGTGGGCCTACCAGCTTTCTCCTGCTTGATTTGAAGCTGCTAGAATTTATGCGTATAAATACGTCAGAAACATTGGCTCGTAAGACGTATTTATACGTCGGAAACAGTCAAAGGGTTAATAACTTACCACCTATTCCATATACTTGCAACATCTGCCACATTGCTCCTCTATCCACTCTATCATATGCCTTTTCTAAATCTATAAATGCAATAAAAACTTCCCTACCTTTATCTAAATACTATTCACATATATGCTTCAATGTAAACACTTGATCTACACATCCCCTACCCACTCTGAAGCCTCCCTGCTCATCCGCAATCCTACATTCTGTCTTACCTCTAATTCTTTCAATTATAACCCTACCATATACTTTTCCTGGTATACTCAGTAAACTTATTCCTCTATAATTTTTACAATCTCTTTTGTCCCCTTTCCCTTTATATAAAGGGACTATACATGCTCTCCGCCAATCCCTAGGTACCTTCCCCTCTTTCATACATTTATTAAACAAAAGTACCAACCACTCCAACACTATATCCCCCCCTGCTTTTAACATTTCTGTCATGATCCCATCAGTTCCAGCTGCTTTACCCCCTTTCTGCTCTTCTTCACTCCTAAAAGATGGTATACCTCCCTGGCCAGTGCATGAAATTACCACCTCCCTTTCTTCCTCAACATTTAAAAGTTCCTCAAAATATTCTCGCCATCTACCTAATACCTCCCTCTCCCCATCTACTAACTCCCCTACTCTGTTTTTAACTGACAAATCCATACTTTCCCTAGGCTTTCTTAACTTGTTTAACTCACTCCAAAATTTTTTCTTATTTTCATTAAAATTTCTTGACAGTGCCTCTCCCACTCTATCATCTGCTCTCCTTTTGCACTCTCTCACCACTCTCTTCACCTTTCTTTTACTCTCCATATACTCTGCTCTTCTTATAACACTTCTGCTTTTGTAAAAACCTCTCGTAAGCTACCTTTTTCTCTTTTATCACACCCTTTACTCATCATTCCACCAATCACTCCTCTTTCCTCCTGCCCCCACCCTCCTATAACCACAAACTTCTGCCCCACATTCTAATACTGCATTTTTAAAACTATTCCAACCCTCTTCAACCCCCCCACTACTCATCTTTGCACTAGCCCACCTTTCTGCCAATAGTCGCTTATATCTCGCCCGAACTTCCTCCTCCCTTATCTAACATACGCGAGTTATTTCATAAATGAAACATTCTCATTCTGTTGACTATATTTAAGTATTTCTTAGCCTGTGATGCTTCTGAAGTCCCTATCAGTTATAATAGGTAGGTACAATTAAGTAACAGCCTATTAAGTTGTTTTAGAGTAACATTTCTGAAACCTCAGTTTTTCCCTATTTTTTAAAAAACCCAAAAATCCTTTTTTTTTTTTTTTTTTTTTTTTTTAGAAATGGGCAGTTATGCCAATCTTTATTTTTATATTTACAACAAAAAAAAATGTTTATGCTTTTATCCATCCATACTACGAGAGAACAATACTCAGTTTACCCAGTTTTGCATTTATATAACATTATTATTTTTATTATTAACCCTTTGCCTGTTTCGGTCGTATATATACGTCTTACGAACCACCGTGTTTGACGTATATATACTCAAAAATTCTAGTGGCTTCAAATCAAGCAGGAGAATGCTGATAGGCCCACATCTGAGAGAATGGGTCTGTGTGGTCAGTGTACACCATATAAAAAAAATCCTGCAGCACGCAGTGCATAATGAGAAAAAAAACTCCGACCGTTTTTTTGGATTAAAACGCTGAATTTGTGGTGTATTTTCGTACGGTATTTATGGTTGTATTCTCGTTTTAGTGGTATCATTTGATAGAATGGAAAACATATTATAGAAATATAGGTGATTTTGATTGGTTTTACTATGAAAAGAGCCTTGAAATGCAGCTCAAAATAGGGGAAATATTTGATTTTTGCCAATGTTCAAAGTAAACAAATGATGTCATTGTCCAATAAATGTCCAACAAGCCATTCTAATATGCAGTCATGAATGGATTGACATTATTTATACAATTATTACAATATTGCAGTAGTCTGCATAATAGTAAATCTTCTATTTTTTGTTTGAATAAAAATTCAAAATAGAAAGCAAGAGTAATATCAGAGGGGCCTGGAGATGTGACTGATGAGCCAGGAATGTCTGCATTGTTCATTCTGAACCCTATTTTGAATTTTGCATATTTTTTAATTATTGTGAAATTGGCCAAATTGCAAATTTCTGACCACGTTATTGGGTAATTGAAATCGGTAAATGGGCAGTTTCTTGTACTTAATCGATAGAACAAATGGAGTTCTAAAGAAATAGCTATGAGTTAGGTCGACTGGAACAATGGAATTAGCCGAAAATAGGGCTCAAAGTGGGCGAAATCGCTGATTCATAAATATCGCCAAGGCTGCTAACTTCGTGAGAGCGTAATTCTGTAAGTTTTCAATTAAATTTCATTCTTTTGGTGTCATTACCATCGGGAAAAGATTCTATCATTTCATGATTTTTTTTTTTTTTTTCGAAAAATTTTCGACACCAGGAGACACCTTAGGATTTGGAGTTTCGACAGTCAAGGGGCTAAATACCTTTTGTAGGTCTAGGTTTTGTTTACCCCTTTGACTGTCGCAACCCCAAATCCTGAAGTGTCTCCTGGTGTTGAAAAAAAAAATATGAAATGATAAGAGAATCTTTTCCCGGTGGTAATGACACCAAAAGTACGACATTTGATCGAAAGCTTACGGAATTATGCTCCCGCGAAGTTAGCAATCTCTGCGATATATACGCATTGGCGATTTCACCGACTTTGAGCTCTATCTTCAGCCAATTCCATTGTTCCAGTCGACCAAACTCATAGCTATTTCTTTAGAACTCCATTTTTTCTATTGAGTACAAGAAACTACCAGTTTACTGATTTCAACTACCCAATAAAGTGGTCAGAAATTGGCCATTTGGCTAATTTCATGCAAATTAAAAATTATGTCAATTTCAAAATATAGTGTCCAGAATAAACAATGCAGAAGACATTCTTGGCACTAAAATAACATATCCTCTGTTCATTAGTCACGTCTCCAGGCCCCTCTTATATTATTCTTGCTTTCTATTTTGATTTTTTATTGTGATAATGATGTTACTGCAGAAGTGAAGACACAGTGTTGGAGGCTGGACAGGCAACAGTAAGAATACTAGTGCCTCATCCGGCAATCACGGACATCCAGGCAGTTCAGCTCCGCTACACTGCTTATCATGGCTGGATCTATTCTGGCTTCTCCCGCTGGGCTATTGATAAGATTTCTTTAATGGACAGCTTTGGCAAAATGTAAGTTATATTACTTTTTACAGCCTTATATTGTCATTCTCTCATTAGAACTAGCGTGATATTCTTGCTAAACAAGTAGGATATTCTTGTTAAACTAGTATAACACTCATGTTAAACAGTATCACTACATTCACACTTTTATTTTTACCATGTCCTAATTCTCCTCATTTTCTAAACTTCTTCCTAGGCTTAATATTTTTACACTCCATACATTTACTTGTGTTTTTACATTATCTCATTTGTTGCATATCTACCTTTGATAAGCACACAGTAATCTTCAATTAGCAACTCATAATTTTGTGGAAGAATGTAGCATGCTGCAGGACCCTTCCCCTCCATCTCACTGCTAGCCTATGGACATGGCCATTGTTTTTTATGGGGAGGTCTAGTCTCGACTTGTGATGTATATAAACCTCCTATGCTGCTAGTTCTCTATGCATATGCATCCCCTATGTTACTCAGTTATGTGTTATACCACTGATTTCCAATATTTTCATAAACCCATCTCATAACTCGTACATTAAACATGCCACCCAGGAGGAATATGAGTGATGCTAGAGGTGCCAAGATGATGATTTAGTTTTTGTGATAAATGGTTTTGAAAATTGACAAGTTGAAGATTGAAACACTTATGCAACATATGGGAATCTTTATTGAAGAAACATTTTGCCACACAGTGGCTTCATCAGTCCATCAGAAAGCAGAAAGGTTGCATAAGTGTATCAATATTTCAACTTGTCGGGTTTCAAAATTATTTATCACATCAGTCAGACACTGCAACATCATGGGATTCTTAAATACTTGTCCAAACTTTGGACGAAGACCTACATACACCAGTGGATGATTCCACTGTGATCCCACCTTCTGCTTCAACTCGCCTGACTACAATATATAAGCCACTTTTCCGGCCCTGTACTGTGCTTTCTTCAAGATTGATGGACTGAACACATCGATTCCAGACTGAGGGACTGATTACCTCAAACTCCTCCTCTCCTTACACCTTTCTGCTTTATATTGGACTGATGAAGCCACTGTGTGGCGAAACGTTTCTTCAGTGAAGATTACCATATGTTGCATAAGTGTCTCAATCTTCATGATTTAGTTTGAAAGTCTTGGTTAAAAAAAATAGATAAGCTTAAAAAAGGTGCATGTGATGGAAATGGCTCAAGCCTTTGGTCTCAGTGAAGCAACAATTTGTGGTTAAAAAAGAATTAGAAGTTAAAAGCTTGTGCAATGAGTAACCCAAGCTATGGCCTCCTGAGCTAAATAAAATACATGCACATGTATACACACATTGATGTGTTAAGAGTGTATATAGCATTGGAAACATCACTTCAATACCTGTTACTTTTCATCCATCAGGTTGTCATTCTGCCACCGTGGGACAACACTAATATCAGGAAAGGCGATGCACTTAACACTGCTCCCTGGTGACTGTGTGTTGCGAGATGAACCCACAAACGTGCCTGCAAAGCCTCATCCTTTCTCTGACTCCCTGCCAGAGGTTGGTCATCAGTTGTCATACTATCATCACTATATTTTATGTATTATTATAGTCATAGAGAAGCACCAAACCAGTAAGGGGTCATACAGCACCTGGAGAATGGGAAGTAATCAGGTTTGATCCAAGTAATGGGATAGTAGCTTCAGTTCCTTGGATCTAGAGCTCTTCATTAGCATCCAGTTACCCCTTTCCTCCTTGAAGGTATATCTTGAAATAAAGTATTGATGCACATCATGGTTAATAGTACTTATTAGCTAATGATGCACTGTATGACCCTTGTAGGTATAGTGCTTCGTTTTGATAATTATTATTATCTTTCTGGTTATAATAACTATTAATATTAATGTACACTAATCAATTTTTTTTATAATATGTATCACAGTGGAATTAAAACATTACTTATGATTTGCATCTAACCTTTACAACATATGTACATAAAATAATTTTTTTTTCATGCTCTCAAAGAAATCGAGGTATTTTGTTTTAGAGCAACAAAATATTTTTAAATTTGAAATATGTTCACAAAAAGAATTTGATCCAACTTCATCAAATAAAACACAGATAAAAATATAATAAATTTTCCATTGTCAGAAGCATTTGGTACTGCATTAGTAAACTTAAATTTTTTTTGCTGCCGAGTCTTTACCCAAATTAAGATGATCTATTATTTTGTACAGGAAACTGAGAATGAAGTGCATCAGATGCCATCCCTCCAACTGGCAGTGGCCCCTCATGAGGTTCCTCATAACCTCACAGTTCCTCACAGAGTCTTCAACCTTACCCACCCCATTCCAACCCCCATACTCACACCCATTGATGCTCATGCCACTGTACTGACACATCAAGGACAAGCACCACCACTTTCTGTCAGCTTGGAAGTTGCTCCAAACTACCAAAACATTCCTAATGGGTTCTATAATGTGTCAATGCTGAGGCCACCTCATTTGCCCCACATCTTCCCTGCCAAACTTCCAAGCAAGACACCACATCCCTCAAGGTATGGTATGGATGGGAGTGTAGTAACTTCTCCAGTACCAGGAATGAGGTACAGTGTTGGTGGGACTGTGGTAATGCCTACAACACCAGTAACAGACACAAGGCATGGAGATGTGGCCATGAGCAGCGAGGAACCTGTGAATGTCATTCCTGCACCAGATCTTGCACACTTTCCTTTATCCAGCAACTTTTCACAGGCACCCACCCTTTATAAACATGAAAGTGGACACACTAGCAGCACCATCAAGTCTCCAGATAACACTCTTAAGCCTGGCAGTGTACAAGAATCAAGTAGTGTACAGGCACTTGTTCAGTTGCATAGCATCCCAGCTGTCACATCCTCTAGTAGTCAGAACCACACACAAAATCACTCTGTAGCTGTAAGTGGTGCTCAGTTGACCACTGATAATCCTACCTCAACCCTGAGAGTTCCTACAACACCTTCTATTTCTCTCTTGCCTCCAACCACATCTAAAGCAAGCAGTGCTGTGCCCAGCACGAACCTAGACATAGATATGAACAGCTTGGCCAGTAATATTAAGACACCAGATGTCAGCAGCAATAACACAGACTTTATGCTGAATAGCACTACCAACCCGATCACCCCTAAGAACTCATTTCAATCCCCACTTTCTACACTTGTTATGCCAAACTCTCAAGATCTTCGATCTGAGACAATTAGTCCAACTCTGTTACCATCAGCTGCAGAACCCACCCCATCCGTTATGCTTTCTGACAAACCACATTGGTTGAGCATTTCTCATTTTTCTGGTGAAAATACTGATCGTGTGGATATTGTTCCCCCTGCACTATTAGTGCACCCATCCAACTTCCACAGTCATTCCCCATTACCAGCCACAACCAAGACACCCAGTGTTCAAGCAGAATTCAGTGACAGAGTTCCTACTGCCTTAAATACCAACAGTCTGATAGATGAAGAAGTCCCTGAGAGGGAACGTGCTCGTGCCCTTGAACTTGGTCCTGAGCCCATCAGTGATCTTTCATCTGATAACAGTAGAGTCAAGTGTTCCAGCTCTTCTTGCTCCATTCAGAGTTACAAGCAACGAGCTCCTTCACTGTCTTCCACATCGTACTCCAGTGTTCGTACTCAGACGACAAATTCTCATGCAAGTAACCTAACTCCTCCACAACCATCCTTCCACCAGCTACCTCCCCAGAAAATATCATTTCAAGCTGATCCTTCTCAAGAGCCTCACTTTAAGTATCCAATTACTAATGTTGAGAATTCCCAGGCCACTGGAATAGACACTTCTTCAAGACTTCATCAAACTCGTATATTTTCATCTGCTAGTAACTTGCACCTGAGGTTCCCATCCTCTGGTGAGGATCAGATCAGACCCCTCACACACCATGATGTGGAAGGCAGACCAAGACTAAACCGTGGTCATTTACCTGGGACTTATCTAGACAACCCATTACGTCCACCTCCGATACACAATCTTCCACCAGAGACAATCATAGGCCATGGAGAGCACCCCAGCCTACCCTTGAGCAACAAACTGGGGATCAATGGATGTTGCGACAATCATATCAGCAGGAATCTCAGATGGATCATGATATGCACAATGTGCAAGAGTATGAACAAAAGTCATACCCAGAGGAATATGAGGAAACTTCTCCCTCTCAGTACCAGCATCACCATCATATCACACAGCACCAACAACAGCAACAATACTCACACCACAATCATCCTCAACAGCATCATCGCTCATATCAGTATAATGCTGAGCAGCAGCAATATCACACAAGATCACAGCATATTCAGAAACCCTCAGAGCAACATTCACTGACTGGGTCTATAGGTAATTTGACACATGTAAATGTTGAACTGGCTCCGGAGAGGTCCCCTCGACCCATCCCAGCTCCTGCTCCTTTCTATGTCCAGTTACTTCCTCCAACTTTCAGTCACCTGGCCCACCTAGAGACTTTTTCATTGCCTCGCGAGACCAGGAAACCTCAGGATTCCCATAACAGAAAGCGAGGTAACAGCGCAAGTGGACGAGCGAATAGAGGGCGGAGCTTGTCAATACCTGCACCAGGGGGCCGAGCAGCAGTGTTTACCCCGCTAGTGCTACAAGTGCAGGAGAACCATCAGGGAAGGTACATCCCACTCAGACACATTCCAGGCACTTCTCATGCTATTTAGACAAGATTATTTATTCAACATAAAAAATTCTCTCCCTATTTTGAATGTACCTTTTAGACACGTGAAGTCAGGATTCTTCACAACACAACACTCTCAAAGCTTGAATTCTGACATCTAGCCACTGACCTATAAGCTGAAGTATGAGTAATATTTATGTATGTATGTGAAATTAATTTGTTCCTCAGATATCACACAATATTCTATAGTGAGTGAAACACAACTGACAAGTTTTTGTAAGCTGTTCCTCTCAAGGAAAATGCTTAGATGCTAAGAAGGAGCTTTTCCTTCTTTGAACACCTTCTTTGAACACAGGTTGCCTGCCATTCCCCAGGCACTGTATGGCCCTTATGGGGTTTACCACTTTCCTGTGAATATACTCCAACAGATAATAATAAAAAAAGAAATAATTTGTAAGCAGTCTGAGAGCTTCAAACTTGTTCATAAGATTAGAATCTTTTGAGCTCAGTGGTAGAGCAGTCTGCTCACAATTGAATGGACCCAGGTTCATTTCCAGGGTGGGGAGAGACATGGGAAAGTCTCTTGATGCTTACTTTCCCTGCTGCAGTATGACCCTTATTGGGTTTAGCACCTAAATTAATTATATTATTACTGCCTCTGTTCATTTAGCAGTAAATAAGTTAATTGTTGTGGGTCACATTGGGAGGGGATGTCAAAAAACCCCGATGGAAATAAGTCATTCCTCGTCTTTCTTGGGTTAACCGATTACTTAACATTCTAAGGTTAATCATCAAATGTCTAATTCATTTCATATTTAATTAATAGTCTGCAGATGGTTTCCTCCTCAGCTGAAGGATATGAGGATAAGGGTGCTTATATTTACACATGAGTATGATGCAGTGTAACTCTCTGAGCAGAAAATTTAACTATTTGTATATCATACCAACCCTATTCATGTTCTGATTGACTGTTAGGAAACTAAGTGCCTCTTGTTTCATTAATGATGAGATATATTATGTTGCATAGCACAGTACTACACATCTTATCATCCATGAAATGAGATCATTTAGCTTCGATCAGTAGAGTACTGTTATCTAAAATTATCATCATTTCTGGTTGTTAGTGATCTTTTGTTTACTTTAAACATTCTTTTATGTATAGACTAAAAAAAACTAGAGATCATGAAGAATGTCGTATTAGAAAAAAGCTGTAAATAGAAAACACTCATAATGGAAAGCAACTGGGCTTGATCGAAGGAAGTGGAGGGTAACTCCCAAACTGCCTGGATAAACCATCTTTTATAGTATTTAGTAAACCCTCTTTAGCTCTGTCAATGGCCTTCCGGTAGTCTAAAACTACGAAGTCCATCCGCACATTTAGCTTAATCCAAGTCCTCCTATCATATAATTTTTAGAATGGAAAGAGGGTATCTCTCTCTGTGCTTTGGTTCCCTGTAAAGTCTATTCATTCCTGGTGGTTGAATACTCATTTTATTATTGAATCCAGGATAAGTACTAAACCCTTAGGAGGTCATAGTGCATGGGGAATAGGAGGCAATCAGATTCAGTCCAAGAAAGGGGAGGATAGATCCACTTCTTGGTTCAAGAAACCCACCCTAGCATCAAAGCACCTTCCCTGAGGAGATTCATTGTCTTAGTAATACATTATTATTATTATAATCAAAAAGAAGCAATAAGGCTCTTAGTAATACTTTACCACTTCACAGGGTATGCAGGTCAGGATTACTGGCCTGTAGTTTAGTACTTGGTCTTTTTTTTTTTTTTTTAGTACAGCCTCTCCTCACTTAACAATGGAGTTCTGTTCCTAAGACCACATCGGTAAATGAATTCATCGCTAAGCAAAGAGCATACTATAATGGTGGTGGGTTTGTCAACTTCTTGATATTGTTATGTACTGTTGCACATTAAGACAATTTTAGAAATACTTTTTAATGGTATGCAGTAGGTTACTGTGTATTGTAATAAACAGACGGTCTAAGCAGCTCTCCTCACTTAAATGAAGTTTGTCCTAAGACCACATCGTAAATGAATTCATCGCTAAGCAAAGGCATACTATATGTAGGGGTTTGTGCAAGCCTCTTGATATTGTAGTGTCCGCAGCACATTAAGAAATTTTAGCAATATTTTAAATGTCTTACGTAGTTAGCTGTAATTGCAATAACAAACAGGTGAAAGCAGCTCTATTTATCATTAAGTATGCAAATGGTTCAAAACCGTCTGTAAATCGATCGTCGTAAATCAAGTCATTGTAAGTGAGGAGAGGCTTTTAGGGCGCATATACAAGATAACTTTCCCAATTAAGTCAAATCCATGCTAGTACTGAGACTCTGCCTCCAGCACAAGGTTGAGAGTCATTTGGATCCGTGTTCATGATTGTCAACAAACCTCCAGGTAGCCAAACTCTTCTGTCTTATAAGTTCCTTGGGTGCATATGTGGCATACCTTCTCCCAATTGTATTATTATAAAAAAGAAGCGCTAAACCTACAAGAGTCATACAGCGCATCTCCCAACTGTAGCAGTTGCAAACGTTCCAACAAAGACATCTTGAATTTTCATTGTTTGAGAGTATTTCTCTAAGTCTGATCATTTGTCCTTTGCTAACATTTCCATTGTGGTGGAGCTTCTGCAGCTACTTTATTCTTGAAGTGCTTTTTCTGCATCACTCCTGGTAGTTATGTTTTCATGAATAAGCCTTTGTAAATTTCTCTCCTGTGAGGATGTGGTAGAGGCAGATGCAATATTGTACTTAATTTCTAGAGTATAGTAGGTATGATAAGGCCCAAGAAGATAGTAATATTGCTGATCAAAGGAGCATAAGTGACAGAGTCAAGAGCTGAGACTCAACCATCACAAACAAAAAGTAGTAAAAACAAATTGGTCAGTAAACGCATCATTTGGCTTGGTCCCAAAAGGTCTTGTGTTTGGCTCGCACCTGATAGGACCTGGGATTAATATCAGCAAAGCAAGCATATGGGCAAGTCTCCTTACCACCCCTTTTCACTTAGCTGTAAATACAGTAGTACAGTATCTTGGAAAAAATAAAAATGTACATAATAATGACAATAGGACACCACACACATTGCTCTGGTCTTGTAACCAAACAGGTAATTATTCTTAATTATATACCTCTTTTTTTTTAAGAGTATAAAAGGAGCATTTTGTGTTTGTGAAACTTAACTGCTAGACAAAGGGTTTAACTGCAGCAGGATCATTAAGGCTTTAAATCACTTATATACTGTAGTCGAGGATTTTTTAATCCCTAGAATAAGAAAAAGTTTTGGAGTGAGATAAACAAGTTAAGAAAACCTATGGAACAAATGGATTTGTCAGTTAAAAACAGAATAGGGGAGTTAGTAGATAGGGAGCTGGAGGTATTGGGTAGCTGGCAGGAATATTTTGAGGAACTTTTAAACCTCTTGACTGTCACAACCCCAAATCCTGAGGTGTCTCCTGGTGTCGCAAAATTTCCCCCCCCAAAAAAAAAATTCTTATGAAATGATAAAGAATCTTTTCTCGATTGTAATGACATCAAAAGAACGAAATTTGATGGAAAACCGACGGAATTACGCTCTCATGAAGTTAGCGACCTCGGTGACATTTCTGAATCGGCAATTTCACTCACTTTGAGCCCAATTTTCGGCTAATTCCTTTGTTCCAGTCAACCAAACTCATAGCTATTTCTTTAGAACTCCATTTTTTCTATCGATTGAGTACAAGAAACTGCCCATTTACCGATTTCAACTACCCGTTGATGTGGTCAGAAATTTGCAATTCGGCCAATTTCACGAAAATTAAATATGACAATTTCAAAATAGGGTCCAGAATGAACAATGCAGATATTCGTGGCTCTAAAATAACATTTTATTTGATCATCAATCATGTCTCCAGGCCCCTCTTGCTTTCTGTTTTGAATTTTTATTCAAACAAAAAATAGAAGATTTACTGTTATGCAGACTACTGCAATATTGTAATAATTGTATAAATAATATCAACCCATTCATAACTGCATATTACTAATGAATGACTACTTGGACATTTATTGGAAAATGACAATTTGTTTACTTTTGAACATCGGCAAAAACCGAACATTTCCCCTACTTTGAGCTCCATTTCAAGGTTCTTTTCATAGTAAAATCTCTATTTCTATGTTTTCCATTCTATCAAGAGACCAAGAAAATGAGAACACAACCATAAATACTATACGAAAATAGACCACAAAGTCGGCATTTTAATTAAAAAAACATTCGTTTTTTTTTTTCTCATGTACTGCATGCTGCAGGATCTTTTTTTATGTGGTGCACACTGATCACACAGACCCATTCTCTCACATGTGGGCCTACCAGCTTTCTCCTGCTTGATTTGAAGCCGCTAGAATTTATGAGTATACGTCAAAAATGGTGGCTCATAAGACGTATATATACGACCAAAACAGTCAAAGGGTTAAATATCGATGAAGAAAGGGAGGCACTAATTCTATGCACTGGTCAGGGAGGTATAACATCTTTTAGAAGTGAAGAGCAGGATGTGAGTGTGGGGAGATGCGTGAGGCATTATGTAGAAAGGGGGTAAAGCAGCTGGAACTGACGGGATCATGACAGAAATGTTAACAGCAGGGGGAGATAGTGTTGGAGTGGTTGTTATATTTGTTTAATATATGTATGAAAGAGGGTAAGGTACCTAGGGATTGGCAGAGACCGGGGGGACAAAACAGATTGTAAAAATTATAGGGGAATAAGTTTACTGAGTAGTATACCAGGGAAAGTGTATGGTAGGGTTATTATTGAAAGAATTAGAGGTAAGACAAAGAGCAGGATCGCAGATGAGCAAGGAGGCTTTAGAATGGGTAGGGGATGTGTAAGTGTTTACATTGAAGCATATATGTGAACAGTATTTAGATAAAGTAGGAAGTTTCCATTGCATTTATGGATTTAGAAAAGGCATACGAGAGTGGAGGAGCAATGTGGCAAACATTGCAAGTGTATGGAATAGGTAGTAAGTTACTAAATGCTGTAAAGTTTTTATGAGGATAGTGAGGCTCAGGTTAGCATGTGTAGGAGAGAGGGAGATTACTTCCCAGTAAAAGTAGGTCTTAGACAGGGATGTGTAATGTCACCATGGTTATTTAACATATTTATAGATGGGGGTTGTAAAAAATGCTAGGGTGTTGGGGAGAGGGGTGGGATTAAATTATGGGGAATCAAATACAAAATGGGAGTTGACACAGGTACTTTTTGCTGATGACTGTGCTTTTGGGAGATTGTAAAGAAAAGTTGCAATGGTTAGTGGACAAGTTTGGGAGGGTGTGTGAAGGTAGAAAGTTGAAAGTGAATATAGATAAAAGTAAGGTGATGAGGGTATCAAACAATTTACATAAATAAAAATTGGATATCACACTGGAGAGAGGAAGTATGGAAGAAGTGAATGTTTTCTGATATTTAAGAGTTGACTTGTTAGCAGATAGGTTTATGAAGGATGAGGGAAAAGAGGCGAGTGGTGTGCTGAGGTATCTGTGGAGACAAAGAATGTTATCCATGGAGGCAAAGAAGGGAATGTACGAGAGTATAGTGGTACCAACACTTATATGGGCGTGAAGCATGGGTTGTAAATGCTGCAGCGAGGCAGCGGCTGGAGGCAGTGGAGATGCCGTGTCTAAAGGCAATGTGTGTAAATATTATGTAGAGAATTCGTAATGTGGAAATTAGGAGGAGGTATGGAGTTACTAAAAGTATTTGCCAGAGGGCTGAAGAGGGGTCGTTGAGATGGTTTGATCATTTAGAGAGAATGGAATAAAGTAGAATGACTTGGAGAGCATATAAATCTGTTGGGGAAGGTGGGGTAGGGGCTGTCCTCTAAAAGGTTGGAGGGAGGGGGTGAAGGAGGTTTTGTGGGCGAGGGGCTTGGACTTTCAGCAAGCGTGTGTGAACGTGTTAAGAGTGAATGGAGATGAATGGTTTTTGGAACCTGACGGGCTGTTGGAGTGTGAGCAGGGATTCAGTGAAACCGGTTAGCTGGACTCAAGTCCTGGAAATGGGAAGTACAGTGCCTGCACTTTAAAGGAGGGGTTTAGGATATTGGCAGTTTGGAGAGACGTCTAAACTGTCATACTTGAGTGATGGTGAAAGTGTTGAATGATGAAAGTTTTTTCTTTCTTTTGGGGTCACCCTGCCTCAGTGGGGGTTAATGTAATCTCTCTAATATGCATAGACATATGCTTCAGTGTTTATACTATGTCTTATTTTGGATCAAAATGGAAATAAATTTGTATTATAAAGTACAGAATCATCTGTAGTTTCAGAAGGAAAACTTCAGAAAATGTGTTTTCTTCTGATATGTGAATATAATATAGGGTGTCCTTATGGATCATTCGTGATTTTCTAGAGGTGTACATACGCTATATCTGCCTTTCTTGATAAAGCCTAAATGTACTATCAGCTTTTTTCTTCAAGACCTACCTGAGCTATTTTTTTTTTTTTTTGTAGAGCCAACTGTGCTGTCTGATTTTCCTACAGACCTGTGTGCTATCTGCTTTTTTTTTTTAACAGGTTTACATGTGCTGCCTACATTTTACTTAAAGGCCTGCATGTCCTATATTTCTCTAGAGGCCTACGTGTGATATCTGCCTGAAAGTAGGCCTGTGTGTGATATCTACATTCTTCCTTGAGGAATGCATGTGATATTTGCCTTCTTCCACTATATTACAGAGTTACTATTTTTTTATGTGATGTATTTATTTATTATGTTTTGCTCCTTTACTTATTTATTTTTTGACAGCAGGTATTGGTGGCTGTCATGTGTGTTGAAAAAGTGTCCCCTCTCATCTCTGTGTTTTATTGTATAAATCTTTTGTGTGTTATCACTGATGTGT